TACAGTAGGAGTTTTAATCTGCGCGTTAAGCTTTGATTTAAGTGGAAAGGTTTTTGCACTGAGTATGGCTGAAGGGCTTGAAGAACGGGGACGTTGGTGGGTGGGGTGCTGGGGAGAAGGCAGCAGCATCCACTGCAGGATCTGTGCTCACGGCTCTCGGATGTCCGGGAGGAAACGCTCCAGCCCGAGCTGCTTCCAGCTCCGAGGGCTGTCAGGGGGAGAACAGGGACCTTTCAACACCATCGCAGAGCTTGGACACGCCAACTCCTGCTGCCACGGCCGGGGCGTTCTGTGGCATTAGCACTGACCTCGCTGCGCGGGCTCGTCCCTACTGCCCGCTTCATCCACAGCAACAGCTTCGAGACTGGGAATGTGGCTGGCAAGCGGAGCTGCTCCTAGTAGTAAAGTCAAAGCAGTGTGACTGTTATTTTATCTCTGAGCCAGCCCAGTTTGTGAGCTCATGCTCTGCTGTGAAGCCTCCCCTCCGCTGCAGGCCAGCTCCTTTTCACTCCTTCAGACATTCGAGCGTGGCAGATTCTCAAGGGGAAAGCCTTTCCGCAGGATTTTTGCCCTGCACCATTTCAAATGCTCGAATCTGTAAGAAGGAAGGGAGGCCTGGACTTGGGAGAACGTTGTCAACACCCATTTCCAGTTCACACAGGGAGCGGGCAGGGCCAGCACGTTCAGGTTTGAACTTCAATCCGAGGCATAGTAAGCAAGTAACTGTCACACAGAACATTTAACTAGAGGGGGCTAAACATTTCCTAGGAGAAATTCCTCGGGAAGTGTTTGTACCTCTTCCACTGGAGGAGCGTCTGTTAATTCATGTCTTTGTGCGCTGCTCCTCTGCTCTAGGAAAACGCTAACGAAGAAGGGACTGGGAGACGTTTGGAAACAAGCAAAGCAATGGGCAACAGTTTTCATAGCGGGAGCAAAGAGAGGCCAAGGTGTGTTTTTGCAGGTCATTTATTGATTTCTCCAACAACTAAGGCCACACCGCCCCAAAATATCTGAGTTACACAAGCTTGGTGAGTGACCCACGTTTCATCCTCAGCAGCACAAGTGCTAAAATAGGAGTTGGAGACCCTGATAGCTGCACAGAAGCTGTTAAGTGGAGAGGGAGAGAGCCTTCAGCCCAGGTTTGGTACTACAAGCACGTTCTGCGCTGGAGCAGCGGAGGAGAGTGGTTATCCAGTGAGGAGGAGCTGGGCCGGAGGTGGGAGCGGAGTGCTGCGCAGGTTCCCGAGGGTCAGGATGCCAGCTTGTGCACTGCTACAGTGATGCTGTCGTGCTTCTGGATCATGATGTTCCTAGAACGAGAAAAGCGCTGAGGCAGTTGAGAAGCCAGCTGTGAGGAGGAGGAGCTGACATGGGTGGGAAACTGGACAGGGGTGTCACTCAGTGGCTGCAGCAACCCCCAGCTCTGTGCCAGACCTGTCGCTCCCGTGCAGAGCGCTGGAGAAGTCCTTGCTGACCACACTGACTGCCTACAGCACGGCCTTCGTTATCCGTGGGAATTCCAAGTGCAGAAGAAGTGCAGAGCTGCAGTAACCAGCCCCCCCCAAAAGGCTTCCTCCTGGCTTTTACAGTGTCTGCTTCCCAAATTCCCATGAATCTGATGAATTCACATGCCTATGGCAGTGACGACCTTCCCCCCAAGGCTGCAGAGATGGGGGCTTCCTCCACATCTGCCAGTTGAGCTCAAGATCAGAAAAGCTGCTCTGGGGATCTGACTCTGGGGAGGGCCCCAGGGCTGGGGGGAAAAGGCAAACGGAGCAGGAAAAGTGGCACCTCTGGGCTGGGCACTCACCCGCTGTCCGACTCCAGGCACACCACGGGTGTATCGGTCGGGTCGGAGGTGAGCTTGGCTGCCTGCTGGGCGAGGACGGAGATGACTCCGGCGTGCTCATCCGAGAGGGTCCCTCGGCCTGCGAGAGGTGGGAGATGGTGGCCGCAGTGGCAGGGACGCTCTGACGGTGCTTCGTGTGAAGTGGCCTCCCCCCAGGGCCGGGGGGGCTGCACCTGCACGGGGCCATTTGCTCCCCTGGGGGCTGATGCAGCTTCTCCCCTAACTGCTGCCCTCAAACCACCCGAAATCCTGAATTTCCAGAGCTGGCTCCGGAATCCTCCAGTGCGTGCGGAAAGCTAAGTGCCGTGATGCAGGTGGGTGCCCGAGGGGACCCCCAAAAGAGGAGCGAGGGGTGGGAGCTGCGGCAGGGCAGGGCCCGGTGTCCCCAGGGGGTGCGGGAGGCCCCCACACCAGTGCCCTCAA